TCCAAGAGATAAATTCGATCATTGTCCCATTCTACTTTCTCAATCCAGAGCAAACTTCGGTCCCCTGCCATTCAAGCTATTCAATTCATGGCTGACCAGACAAGGGTTCGATGAAGTGGTTAGTAAGGCCTATCGTGAATTCAGCGGTTCCCCCCCCCCCACACACACACATTCAAAGCTATTGAATAAATTGAAAGCAAGCAAAAAGGCGATTCGTGAATGGCGATCTTTGGAGTTTTCTAAGGAAACGGCAGAACTTATAAAACTCAAGGAGGCACGTATTGATATTGATAAAAGGTTTGACTGTGGTTATTTTAACGATGTCGATCCGGATGATAGAACCAAAATTTCAGGAAGAATAGAAAAGCTTGAAAGGCTCGCAATCATTGATTTGAAGCAAAAAAGCCCAGATTAAATGGACGATTGACGGGGATGAAAATTCTCGTTTTTTCCATGGCTATGTATCCAACCGATCGAGGAGGAATCACATGCATGGCATTCTAATTAATGGTGATTGGACGAGTGATCTGGTGGCCATGAAAGCAGAGGCGATACGATTTTTTGCTGAAAAATTCAGCGAAAGATGGGCAGATAGACCAAAATTTCACAGCAGTAAATTCAAAATGATCTTTGATGCCAGCCGTGGATTTTTGGAGGAGAATTTCTCTTATGAAGAGATTAAAAATGCTATTTGGAGTTGTGGTAGCGAGAAAGCCCCAGGGCCTGATGGCTTCACATTTAAATTCTTCAAACGCTTTTGGTCGATTCTAAAGGATGATATTGTTGGTTGTGTTAGATATTTTGAGGCATTCGGGTCTTCATTAAGGGGCTGCAATTCCTCCTTCATCACACTAGTTGCCAAAACAAAGGACCCTCTTATTCTTAATGACTATAAACCCATTAGTCTCATTGGGTCTATCTACAAGATCATCTCCAAGTTACTTGCCTCCAGGTTAAAATCAGTGATCAGTGAATGCATTGATGAGGTCCAAACAACGTCTGTAGCTAATAGATACATCTTGGACGGCCCGCTCATAGTCAATGAAATTTGCTCCTGGGGGAAGGCAAAAAAGAAAAAATACTCATCTTCAAAGCAGACTTTAATAAGGCCTTTGACTCATTAAATTGGGGTTACTTGGATTCTATGATGTCGCAAATGAATTTTGGAAGTAAATGGAGATTGTGGATAAGAGGGTGTTTGGCATCAGCAAGGGCATCGGTGATTGTAAATGGTAGTCCAACAAGTGAATTCCTACTTCAAAAAGGTTTTCATCAAGGAGACCCGCTCTCTCCATTCCTCTTCATCATGGCAATGGAGGGTTTAAATATTGCTATGAAAGAAGCTGTGGAAAAGGGCATTTTCAAGGGTATTTCTATACCAAACGCTGGGCCTCCGTTGTCGCATTTATTCTATGCGGATGATGCGATTTTCTTGGTGAATGGTCAAAGCATAATATCGATAACCTTGGTTGTATCCTTAGATGTTTTTACGTTTCAGTTAGACTTCAAGTGAATTTTAAAAAAATCAAAAGTTGTTGGCATTGATGTGATCGATCGAGAGGTTGAACGATGGGCTGCCCCGCTAGGGTGTGAACCAGCCTCCCTCCCCTTTTCGTATCTTGGGGTTCCGGTTGGGGCTAATATGAACTTAATAAAAAAGTGGAAGCCAATTGTGGATAAGTTCAAATCAAAATTATCGATATGGAAAGCAAAAAATTTAAGCTTTGGTGGTAGAATAATGTTTGCTAAAGCTGTCTTGGGTAATCTTTCCAATTATTATTTATCGATCTTCGCTGCCCCAACAGGTATACTAGAAATTTTGGAAAGGATTAGGAGGAACTTTATTTGGGGGGCAGAAGGTGAGTCCTAAAAGATCAATTGGGTGGCATGGGAGAGATTAATAGCACCACGTGAAGTTGGGGGTCTCGGTATTGGTTCCATAAAAGGTCTTAACATTTCTTTATTATCTAAATGGTGGTGGAAACTCAAAACGTCTACTAATTCATTATGGTCTTGCGTTATAAACGGTATTCATTACATGGGGAGGCCGAATGAAAATATTGATGCTTCAAAAAATATCCCTGGAGTTTGGAATAATATTGTTAGATGCAAAAATGAACTTAGAAAAGTAAACATTCTAGTTCATGATGTTATTAGAAAATCACCAACCGGTGATACCTGGGAATCTGATTTTTGTAAAGAGAAATACTATGTAGCTATGATGAGAACGAGAATAGACAGATCCCCACACCTAATATGCGACGGTGAATTTCCATGGTTTAAGTGGGTGCCAATGAAAGTTCTATGTTTCGCTTGGCGAGCTAGGTTGGGTCGAATCCCAACTTTTTTGGCCCTTAGCCGCAGGAATGTTAAGGTAGACTCCCAATGGTGTAGTGCATGTATCTCAAGGTTAGAAACTTCCGACCATCTCCTAGTGGACTGCCCGTTTGCGGATCATGTATGGAGGAATCTGGAGAAGTGGTGCGGTATTGGGAAGATAAACGCCAACTCGGTTCGAGGAATTATTGATGAGGGTGTCAGACTGAAGATGGGTTCCAATCGCAAGAAGAAGGCTCTGTTATCGATCCTCTATGGTGCTCTATAGGCTATTTGGCGTGCCAGGAATGATAGAATCTTCAATGGCGATATTGCTGATCCGATTAAGGTTGTCGATTCGATTAAGTCTATGACATTTCTGTGGGTAAAACATAGATATGGCAGGTGTAGTATTAATTGGGGTGATTGGATTGGATCCCCGTTAAACTGTTTGTAATTGAACTCTGTCTTTTGTTTTTCTTTATCCTTCCACTAACACCTTGCTAGGGTTGGTGTTTTATATAATATATATTTGCCGGTTCCAAAAAAAAAATCGTCCTTAAGTTGAACGTAAACCAAACAAAAATAATAATATTAACTATTAATATATTTCTTTAATAAGATAAATAATAAATTTATTAATGAGTGTTTATTATGGTATGATGAAAAAATATGTTATATGGTATTATCTGTTTCTTTTGTTTGTGTTATAACTTCTATTGTAAAGAATAGGAAAATAGAATTTATTTAGTTTAATGTAATTTGTTCAAAATACCTTTAATGAAATTAAAAAATAGTTCCTAAAGTTCTAACATTTTTTGGTTCCTATTTGAACCACTCCTATAATAATTATAATTAATGAAATTTAACATTAAACTAAACATGGGAAATACATAAGACAACATATGGGGGGAGATGGAGATGGAGAATGTTCATGAGAGAAGGAGGAGGAGTGGGAGAGGGTGGAGGGGTAGGAGTGCTGACCTTAGTCTCAGGAGGATCAGGAGTCAAGGTGGAGTCAAGGATGTACCTAAGATTTGAGGATATATTTGAATCAGATAGAAAATCATAAGATAGGGTTCTGTGGGGGTGACTGATCCATAAGAAAAGATAGACTCGTCAAAAGTGACATGACGGGAGATGATGATCTTACCGTTAGAGAGATCAAAGCATTGGAACCCACGATGATATGTGGGGTAGCCAAGGAATATGCATGAGGTGGAGCGCTCTTGAAGTTTGTGGGTGGTATGAAGGTAGGGGAAGCACATACACCCAAACACATGAAAGTGATTATATGTGGGGTGTCGTTGAAAGAGATGGTAGTGAGGAATATCATTAGAGATGGAAGCGGAAGGTAATATGTTTAGGAGTTGGTTGACATGTGAAGAGCCTTAGGCCAAAATGTAGGAAGAAGGTGTGAATGAAAAAGAAGAGTGAGCATCATATTATTGATGGTACATATCATGCATTCAGACCGACTATTTTGCTGAGAAGTGTGAGGGAAAGAAAAACAAAATGTAATACCGTTAGATGCAAAATGGTTATGAAAGTTTTTATTGATGTATTCCCTTCCATTGTCACATTGAAATTGTTTGATGGTACCCCCAAATTGATTGTGAATTATGTTTGAAAGGTGTAAAAATTTATTAATCTGGTTTTTTTGTTGAAGACGATAAATAATAAACCTAGAGATCATGAGTATAATGATCCTGAAACAAAATGTAATATCGCAAACTGCCATTACTAGAAATATGAGATGTACATAAATTAGAGTGGAAGTTTAGAATGTTTTCCAAGTTGACCCGCATAGCAAGTTACATTATTTTCAGGTAAACGACAAGAAATAGAACTACTACTAAATAACTGCTTCAAGACTTGATCTTCGGGGCGGCTGAGTCATTGATGCCATGTATTGTATGGGGTGGGGACAAAAGCATTACCGAAAGATCTAATGACCGGATAAAGAGGCCCCAAACTGTCACAATGGATTAGCGGGCGACGAGTCTGATAATCAATAAAGTAAAACCATAAGGATCAATATAAATAGAACAATTGCTATGAGTAGTAAATTGAAAAACAAAAATAAGGTTTTTAATTATGCTGGGTGTGATGAGAACTTTTTTTTAATGAAGAGGACGATGGATATTAAGAATAGGTAGGGCCGGCCCTGACTTATTTTAGACCCTGTGCAAACACAAAAAAAGGCCTCTTAAAATAAAATTAAAAATAAAATAAAAATATTATATACAATGTTATATAAATGGAATGCAAAAAATTAAAATCCAAAAGCTTAGTAGAAATCGAACAGAGGCTGATCAACCCATTAGAAGCATATGCACACTTACCATTTCAACTCGAGTAATAGATGTACAGTAAAAATGTTCCTACTTATATATATCACCACAAAAAGCAATCAGACAATAAAAAAAAATGCTTAAGAAGAATCGAGCATGGATTTATAGTTTATACCGGGCGCGCCTTCAACCATGTGGACTAAATAAACTTTGGCCAAATCTGGCTATAACATTATATATAATAGGAAAAATAAAATGTACCGAAGTCACAACAAGAAGTATTGCAGAACTATTACCAAAATAAATAGATCGAGGATAACGCGTATTACAAATGCAATTAAGTATACAGTTGCCCTGGTGTCCATTACTCAATCACTGTTTTCGGGGTCATTAAGAGAAATCGTGTAAAACTTTAATGGTAGCGAGGTGGGTAATCACTTGTGAGCAAAGCCGAAGGTGGAAGAACCAAGTCATTAAGAGACATCTTGTTAAACTTTGACAAGTCTTGTAGGATGGAGTAAAAAGGTTGTTGGGCCACAGCAGGCCTGCTACCCAGAAGTCCTGGTCCACCAGAAATAGGCCTTGCCCACTGATATCGCTGACTCGCTGTTGCTGCTGATTTGTTTGGGAAGGTACAACCCAATTTCCTAGGGTCGGCCCAATACTACTGAGAAGATCCGGGTGGCGGAATGAAGACCCAACCAAACTTTTAGGAGCGAGGCGCTGAAGGCGAAGACCTTTGGGGAAAACTGAAATGGAGGGCATAAACAGACGTTTTCTATGACGAGGGGTGGGTAAATCGCCTTCAAAGAGAGCTTTCCTATGCATCACAAACCTTAAAACTCCTGTCTGATTTTAAGGTGGGCTTCTTTCGACTATGTTTTTCCTTTTCGAATTTGTCAATAAATGCTTCAGTCAAGTTTTCTATATGCTCTGCATCAAGCCTTGCAATAAGCCTGATGTCTATTGGTACAATTAGGCGCCAAACCTTTTTGGGTGGAAATAAGATGCCACATTGGTACAATTTAAACAAAATTCTCAGCGTTAAGAACCCTTGTATTGTGTAAAATAACGTTTTGAACAAATTTAATAGTTGGTTATTATTCGTTGATGTCACACAAGATTCAAACGTAAAAATTACAACAAAATATACAAATCTGATAGTACTTATTGAAAGAACCCTTATATTGTGTAAAATAACGTTTGTGACCAATTTCCACACAAATTTATTGTAGGTTTGCTAAAATTCAAACCTATAAATTACAATAAAATTTACAAATCTGATAGTAGTTATTGAATAAGGAAAGCAAAAAAAACTAAGTTTTACTCGATCTTTCAAAAAATCTGTAAACATCAAATCCTTAAGAACTTAATTACTTTTCTATCTCAACTGGAAGTTCATAAACCTGAGGAAAGTGGCATACAGGAACGCGAAGAACACACAAAAACCAATCAAAACCGCAGCAACGGGACCCATGAAATCCAATTCAAATCCATAGTAGTCCTTGATATACGATGTGAGGGCCGGGTCAATTCCCATTCCAGGCACCTTAATTGTGTTATCCGCATCATGATATTGAGAAACAATGCATCCGTACACAGTCCACGCCATGGGGCAGATCCAGTAGTACCACACCCACCATCCAGGAATTTTCTAAAATTTCAAGAATTCAAATAAACATGAAACAATAGAATACAACTATCGAAAAATGAGTTGATTCAAAGATATGATGACTTACAGGTTGCGGGATATAAAACCCTGAAAAGATATTAAAAAGTAGGTAGAAACCAGCTGCGAATATGGCTGCAATATGCTCGTTTGGTGTAATGGAAACAGTCATCATTCCGTAGTATGTGAAGTAAAGGAACGAAAAGAAGTTGATGAAAAAGAGCCAGAAGAATTTGGGTACTGTCCATTCGAATGACACCATGGAGTACACTATGAGAGTGTAGTATGTCGTTTGAAGGAATACATATGGTATCTCAACAATAACCTGTTATTCAAAGAAAAAGGTCATTAAGTTTGTAATTTTGTAATTCATAATATTTGTTCAAAATTAATTTTACTTACTTGTGCCATGGCGTATGGTAATGAGGAGTACATTCCAGCTGCTCTTTCACGATAAAAGACTGTTCTTTCTGTTGCAACAACTGGCTGCACTGTTTGTGAATTGTTAATGCCAACAAAAAATATAGCTGCGTACATGGCTCCAATTGTTGTGCTCAAATCACTGCTGCTGGACCTGAATTTTTTTATAAAATATATGAAGTTTCCGACCATATTGTAAAGGGATGATTTCAAAAGAAGGAAAGACTCACTTTTTGCTTCCGATTTTCCAGAATACAGTTCCGACCATGAGTGCACAAAGCAAAGTGAAGAAGAAACGAACAAGGTTATAATCGGGATTTCGCCAGTAACTCCACCACATCTTCCATAAACATGAAGTGAATTGTCCCCATATATTTTGAGAATATTGTGTTTCAAAGTGAAGATCTTCAACACCTGGTGTAGGTACACTCAACTCCTTCACCAAAGCCTTGTTCCTCCTGTCATGTATACAAACATTATAATTAGTAATTACAAGTGGTTGCTACTGTTTTTCAATGGGCGGGTTTTTCGAAATCTTTGAGACAATTTTCCAAAATATATTTTATCACCAAAATTAAAAAAGACTTACCGTTGGACACGCGATTCACTGTAGTAGTCAGCAAAGTCAACGTCAAGCCGCATCTCTGCAGCACCAGAGCTGACTTCCAACATCCATGTTGCTGGATTGGATTTTTCAGGGATCTTTGGAACCCCAGGAACTTCCTAATGATATAAAAACAACTTAATTAGTTTTGTTTTTTTTGTTTTTTTTTTTTTTTTTTTTTTGGAATTGTAGTTTATATACTATGCACGTGAAATACCTCAAAGTGGTGGATGATGTTTTTAGAACGCCTGCCTAGTGGGCCCGCATAGATAACTTTTCCTCCTCTTTTCAATAGCAACAACTCATCAAAAGATTCAAATATATCAATACTCGGTTGATGAATGGTGCAAACAACCGTTCTCCCTGTGTCCACAGTGTTTCTTACAGCTCTCATAACAATGGCAGCTGCTCTTGCATCAAGTCCAGAAGTCGGTTCATCCATGAAAATAATTGAAGGATTTGAAACAAGCTCTACTGCAATTGTAAGCCTCTTTCTTTGTTCAGTTGACAAACCACTGACTCCTGGAAGTCCCACTATTGCATCCTTGATGTTATCCAGTTCGACTAGCTCCATTACTTCACTCACAAAAACCTGAAACGTAATATGATTAATTAACACTTTATGCTTCTTTTTGATATCTTGTTTGACAATTTTCATTTTCTTTTTACCATTTTGTCTTCCTTGCTGACTTGTTTTGGGAGACGGAGGAAAGCAGAGTAGATTAAAGATTCATGAACAGTGATTGTGGGAGAATGGATATCCGTTTGCTCACAATATCCAGAGATTCTTGCAAATGTTTCTTGTACTTTTGGGAATCCTGATATTCTTATGTCCCCTTCGATATAACCAGTGGTCTTTCTTCCTGCTAAAACATCCATCAATGTCGTTTTACCTGCCCCACTTACTCCCATTAAAGCAGTTAGGACTCCAGGCCTAAAAGCACCTGTTACATCAGTAAGTAACTGCAACCTATTTTCTGTCACTCCTTGCTCTCTCATTTCCTGTTAATCAAGAAATAATAGTTAAGCCTAATAGTGACAAGGTCAAGCTTTTTGCAATTTTGTATAGAGAATAAATCACGTAAGTACAAATTTATATCAAATATATAGGGTTTTTTTTAGATGTGTTTATATCTACGCTGTAAATATTAATTAGCAGCAACACAAATTAAAGATTAGAACTTACACGAGGCATATCAACATAATAGCTCACGTTGTCGAATGACATGGAATATGGAGTAAATTGAAGAATCATTCCTTTCTTAGCAACACTACTAGCATTGGAAGTGCGTTTATTTCCATCAACAGGATGTGGTGTTGGTTGTTGGTTGGTATCTTGACCTTCCATGGCTGCAGCTTCTTCCTTGGAGATAATTGCTTGTGGTTTTCCAGGGGCTAGTTAGTCAATAAGAGAATCATGAGGGTTAGTAAGGGAAAATATCAATCGACTTTAGCAGAGTCGACTGAAACTTAATTACCTTCTAAATACATGAGAGCTATTGTAAAGAGGATATTAAAGAGAAATGCAAAAGCAAGAAGAGCAGCAGCACAGATCCAATATGAGCTCTCTTTAGTTGGGACGTCTAGGTTGTTTAACACTGCATACCCCATATTGGTTGTATTGTCTGTGCTCTGTGAAATATAATAGAATTTTCTTAGTTTCTTATTAGGAAGATTACTAAGAAAAAACAATAGATTTTTGTCAATTTTGTGGTTTAATTAACCACAGATAATTTATTTTTCCAATCAAAGCATCATAATTTTTGATAGAGAAATCAAATATCCTCCTATTTTTTTCTTCTATCATATTCCTATACTATGAAGATTGTGACACTTGTCATGTTTAATAAAATTAATAATTTTTTGTTACACGTGGAAGATAGATAGCAAGAATAAATAGGAAGATATTTAAGGTGCGTTTCGTTGTAGAAAACTTTTTTCATTTTTTAAGAAAATATTTTCAGAAAATAGAGCTTTTTTTCATTTCTAGTTTTCAATGAAACTTTTAGAAAACATGTTTGGTTAGAAGCGGTGAAGTTTACATTTTTCAATTTAGAAATTTGAAAAACTTTGAAAAACTGTAAAACTCGCTTTTATAATTTACATATAATTTGGAAAACTGAAAATTTTCATTTTCTTAGAAAACTTTGGAAAACTGAACAAACCAAAAACGTTTTCAAAATTTCCGTTTTTCTTGGAAAATTTTCCTAGAAAACTAAAATATTTTCGACAACCAAACGCACCCTGAATCTCTCTAACTTCTATTCTTTCATTGGAAATTATTTGTTACTATGGTTTAACATACAAACCTGTCCAAAAATATACCCTTTTTAAAAAAAATTGTTACTTTTATAAGTTTTTGTGATTTTGAATAAGAATTACCAACTTACCCTTTTGTTTGTCCATCTAGGATCAAGAAACTCGTTTATTGCAAACGCTTTCAAGCCATAAGACAGAGGTGAAATCCAATACGCCCACTCCCACCAGTTTGGAATACGGGTTTTAGGAAGTATAAAACCACCCAACAAAAATATAAGAAGAAGTACGATAGATCCACCCGTGTTTGCAATGTTCATTGTTTTACACACCCCAGCAATTAACCTAAATAGTCCTGCTGCCACATTTTGGATCAAGAAAACCAAAAGAAAATGCTTGAAGAACCTGTAAACCATATTTCCATTAGCATATATAACATCAAATTAAAATAACAAAGTTTATTATAAACTAACAAAAACTATTAATAAATAAATTAATTACCTGGAAGCATCAGGGGCAAGATCAACGCCAAAGTAATATATCCCACACCACATAATACTCTCTAGCATAGATATAGGAATACGTAGCAAGAAAGCTGGAAGAGTGAAAGCCCATGAAGGGTGAAACATGAGGTCCCTTTGTTTGTAAACAACCGGAAGCCTCAATATGATTAATGAAAGATCAGCAAGCCCATTAAACATGTTTATGAGCAAACTGTTTAAAAGTGCCCCTACATAAATAACACCATCTTGTTCATTCCTGTGGTGCATGGTTGTCCTAAAATACAAGGTTGTGCAAATAAATGCTATAAACACGATTTGTATAGACTTGAAAACGTAAATAAACGCGTTTCTCTTCATTAGTAGCCACTCTTTATCCAATGAGGCCTTAAGGAGCTCCATTTTAGGGACCAAGTATTTTTCAAAAACTAAAGCTGCTTTATGGCTTTTGTTTTTATCGTATGGAACTGACAACTCCTTTTTCAAATTTTCCCCCACATGGAAATGATTGAATCGCTCGGAAAACTCAGTGACTGGTATATATCGATATGGCATGCTTTTATCTGCCCAATATTGTTCTTGATCCTTTTTAGAGGTCACCTTTAATCATAAAGATACAAAATGTTTAATTTGTAATAAATGGAATAGATCAAACGTCTCTGGAATATATCTATCTTTGTTCTAATTAACAAGATTGTTATTGTGTGTTTAATTACCTCTTGCAAGAAATCAGCTGTACCCTTTCTTTCAGGACACATGAATCCACAACTCTCAAAGAACTCAACAACATATTCACGTGGTCCTTGATACACGATTTGGCCCTCAGATAGTAGGATAATATCATCGAATAGATCAAACGTCTCAGGAGCAGGTTGAAGTAAGGACATAAAGATTGTTGAATCGGTGAGGTGTACAACTTGCTGTAAGCACTTGACTATTTGAAACGTAGTTGAACTGTCTAGACCTGTTGAGATCTCATCCATAAACAAAGTTTTTGCGGGTCCCACAAGCATCTCACCTGAACCCGGAATTAATTTATCCATTCAGCACTTTATGCATACAACACTTGAAGGGAAAAACAAAAAATTAGTTGAGAAAAACGAGCAGAGACAGTTAACCTGTGGTTACACGCTTCTTTTGTCCTCCAGAGATACCTCGTCTCATTTGATCTCCAACAAAAGTGTCACGACAGACATCTAGGCCCAATATCTGTTTGGTTTTAAAATATATGAATATTGTTAGTGTTCAGTATCAGCAAGACATGCATCCCATCTGTCTCTATATATGTTAGAATGAAAATCCAAAACTCCATGTATCTAACTAATTACAAATCTTCTGATTTTGGTGTGGAAAGATTTAGACAATACCAAAGTTATACTTACTCTTAGAGTGTAGTACGTAATCAAACTGCTTTCATCTCCTTCAATGGCAGTGGCCTTCATAAAAAAGTCGACTTCAGGTTCTGGGTTGACCCCGTTTTCCTTTTCTCTTCTTGTAAGCTCCGTTAGCATTTCTGTATTTCAATGTATTGTTATAACTAATGTTTTTTTGTTTTAAGAATTTGAAATGTTAGTGTCCTATATCTGCTAGACACGTGCCTCTGTATATGTTTAAGTTCTTCCTATGTTTCTTTGGGGAATTTCGTATATTATACGCCTTTTATCAAAAATAAAAGCAATCACAAGAGTGTATCCTTGTAGTTTCTTTTTTGGTTGAAGATAATCATGAAGTGTATCAAGAAACTGAAGGCTCATATGACTTTGATGAATCAACACATGTACCATGTATAAACTACTCTTTTTAATTTGTTGTTGGTATGATCATTCACAATTAATTTTTTGAACATGGTGAAAACTATTGATGAATTTGACCTTTAATTTGGAAGTTGAACACTAACTGTGGAAGCTGACTGCAAATAATTAGCATTATAGTTAATACTAAATTGAGAGTTAGATTTAGTTTTGTATGACTGCTAAGGGGTTTTTTTGTTTAGAATCAAACAAAGTTCATATAATGGAATTTCCAATGTTTAAAATCAAAAGGGGGTGTAATTCCAATGAACACCAATCAGTGTCAAGATAATGAAATTCCATTTGAAAAATCAACCCAATATGGATACTAATTACTATTTCGTCATTTGATCAACAATCTACTTTTATGAATAGGATTCAAACCAAACGACACCTTTAATTTTACCTAATTCAAAACAAATTTATAAACTTCGAATTCCATAACCTAATAATTGATCATTAGAGGGTTATAACATATAGCCAATCTATACTAGCACAGGATTTAAATTGATTATAAAATGTTTAGAAATATTTAAAATAATGATTTGGGTAAATATAATATTTTAAAAGTTTATGAACGATAAATATGATATTTAGAAATTATACGGGTCAAATATGATATTCTAATGCTTTCATTTTTCTAATTAAGACTCTTTTTACTACAAGAAATACTAGCTATAGCAGCAACATCAAACTGGATGTGCTTCGGGTGTTTAACGGGGATATTTGTCGCCCCTATTGACCTGATTTCTTGTAGTTTTTCAAGAGAAAGTCTAGGACTTTCTGATAAACATGGTATGAAAGCAAGTCTAATTTAATTAAGTCTTCATATCGGAAACATTTAGCCTCTCACACTGGCTAGTATATGGTATATACCATCCATCTCTATAAATGTTGGATTTCACTTTCTCTCCAAAGACGCTTTTGGAGAGGAATGTAGGCATCTTGCTGAGAAAGCTAATAGTTAACATATATCTAAGTAAACAAAAGGTAAGCTACCTAAACGAGATCCAATTCCCTGGCATCTTGCTGAGAAATCTAATGTTTCTTTCACAGTCATTTCTCCAGCATGAATATCGTTTTGGCTAATGTATCCTGCTGTCCTTCGTGGTTCAAATTCATTGAGCTTATGTCCATTGTATGTTATCTCTCCATCAACTTTTAAGCTGTGATCCAGCCTTCCTGCCAGAGCCAACAGAAGGGTTGTCTTACCAGAAGATGGTGGACCCAATAGAAGTGCCAACCTATAACATTACAACAATTACAGTTAACCACTTGTAAAACAACAAAATCCACTTGATCACCCATCAATGGCAGCCTGAATGTATGGAAGAAGGAAAAATCTTGCAAAATGAACATAAAACGTACTGAAAACTGACAAGATGTGTGCACATAAAGCTTGAAAGTTGAAACCAATCAAAAGGAGAATATTAAGTAAAAAGTTATAATAGAATATATAAATAAATAAACAGATAATTTTAATTATATGTGTTTTAGTAAATCCGTACAAATCCGTCACCAAAAGTTGACTATATCGGAGACATGAAACTTATAAATAGAGGAGAATAGTTAGGATTAGACGTATATAACATAAAACGCATGCTAGAGATAGACGGTTGAAGGTAAAAGAGAATAATAATATGCTTGGTTTTTTTGGGTTACAATCATTCAATATATAAAGACTACACAAGGATAATTAACCATGTATATAGAAAGATGTTATCCTAGTCTAATAACAAAACTCGTGATAAATACAGTTGTAAATAACAAATGTATAAATCCAAGCTAGATAAATATGTCTAATGGTCCCATGCATTCGAAGCGAGAGCCGGTTGAACCGTTGAATAGTGAGACTATTATGACTATTATGGAAGTCATCAAAAAGAACCAATGGCAATCCTTTGGTAAATATATCAGTTAAGTAGCTAAGTGGTATCATTATAGTACATGTAAAAAGTCACCTCTCCTAGAGCTAGAAATCGACATCGTTGTAGCAAAGGAGGTTCGAGGAGGTGGATTTGGATTAATGTAATACATAAGATAGCATAACTTGTAAGTAACATATATATGATGCATTTAAGGGCAATCATAGGTGATGTTCATGGATAATGCGTACAAATGCAAATATATTAGCACCGATTAAGAAACATCTGACAGTAAATGTGAGATATGGTAAGGCTCAAACATGGATTCGACAAAATATGGGATAAGGAAATGGATCGCCGACTTAACATTAAATCGTTGTCAACGGGTGTAGTTGATGGTTTACAGTAAGTCGTATATGGGCTGGTTGAATTTTGTGTTTTTATGTCTTTGGTGTATTAAGTGTTTGTGTTTTGTAACGAAAACTCCCAATAAATATCTAAGTGCCCTAGGTCTTTCATAGCACTATAAGAGCCTGGATTTGGAATAGTAAAGTCAAGAAAACGCAACCAAAAGTGATCTAGCTTCAAGCTAAAATCAAATTCTATGACACTAAATTGGATGGTGGAATGGCCTCCACAGATGATGTGTCTGATTATAGGTTTCTTGTCTTAAAAAAAAGAGAGGATATTTACCATTTCGAGCGAATGGACTTACCCCAAAAGGATAAGGTTACCCTGGGTACCCAATGAAATATCATGTCATCTTGAAGAAAAAGTGTGGGCAAGTGGCAATCCAAGGTGTCATGGTGGATAGGAAATGGATAACCTTTGAAGGTCCGGTGTTTTATTTGGCAAGATGGGTAGAATTCTAGTGGCTGATACCTTGTGCTTGTCATGTAGAGATATTAATTCTCGAGTCGCTGGTTGCAACTTTTGTGCTGCTGCTTTAGAATATGTGGTTCATGTTTTTATCAAATGTCAAATGGCTAAGTTAGCTATAGAGTGGATTTTGGGGCAATATCCCTCCTCGACATTTCTCTAGTGTCATGGATTTCATTGACTTCGCAATTAATTGGGGCAATTGTCCGTATAAATAAGATATAGTTAATGTCATCTTTTATTGTTTTCTTTGGAACATTTGAATGACGAAAAACACGGTGTTTAACACCCCTACTAGAATTACAGACAACGATGATTACACATTCTTATGTTTGGTGGTGTAATTATAGGTTCCAAGAATTGAATTAGGTTGATTGGAGTTGTTTACCTTTCAACCATCTTAATTTGTAGCATGTACCTTGTTTAATAGTCTACGTTTTAGCTATTTAATTTGCTAATCGTGGGTCTTTTTTATTTAAATATATTTTGCCGTTTCCAAAAAACGTTTGTGAAAGGTGAATTATAAATTATTATGCCTTGAAATTTAAACCTTTGGAAAGGGTTTAAATTGGAAAATAAATTAGACAAGCAGTTAACTAGAGTAGAAATTAGACATGTCGTTTGGAATTATGGTAAGGATATACCCCGGATCAGATGGATTTACATCTAAATTTATGAATGCATACGAGGAACTAATCAAGTACGATGTAGTGGTTGCAGCTTAATTTGCATTTTCAACATACTTAAACTAACCCATAAAAATGCAACTTGTCTTTTATTGCTCTTCTTCCTTTAGTGTAAAATACTAAAGAAACAAATAACAATAAACTGATTACTATCATTGGTTAAGAATATAAAGTTATTGGAAAATTGCTAGCAAACTGCTTATATCGCCATGATAAGTGATATTGTTAGCCTCGAGCAATCCCATCTCACGATAACAAAATTTATTCTCGCTAGCATTGTGATATATTTTATGAATCTTTTTCATGCTCCTAAAAAACCATTCGATACTCTTGAATCGTTGAGAAATAATTTTTGTGGAAGTTGAGCGGGCGAAAGAAAGCTTACTTGGATCAAGTCGAGAAATGTAATGCCAAATAAATAAGATGGTGGGTTCTCATTGGGAGGTCTATATCCTTTTAATAAAGCGCTTTTGTCTAAAAGGAAGTTGAGATATCAACAATATTTGAATGTTATACGTGCGGTTGGTTAAAAGTATTTCTTGTCATGATTGGGCGTTAAATATCATCCATTCCCGTCCATCATAGTACCTTGTTTTTGTATTATATAAAAATTGTAATCGTCCAAAGTTTTAAAGTTCAACTCCGAACTTGATTTACATCCATGATTTTTAGAAATTTCTTCATTATCAATCTTTTTGTCAAACACCTACTAAGCTGTGTTTATATATATATATATATATATATATATATATATATATATATATATATATATATATATATATATATATATATATATATATATATATATATATATATATAATTTCTTAAAATCTTGAAAATAAATCAAGTTACTATTTTAATTTTAAGAACTTTGGATAATTAGATTTCATATAGGACACAAAAACAAAGTAGTATTATCAGTTTGGTATCTAAACTTATAAACCTTGTAGGAAATATCCACTTTTCTATATATATATATATATATATATATATATATATATATATATATATATATATATATATATATATATATATATATATATATATATATATACACACACAAAATAAAGAGTATTCTTTTAAGAGCCAATATTTGTATGAGAATCTTAAAACTTCTAAATCATCAACCATTTTTCAAAAGCAACACCACCATTGGCCTCCATCCGGATGTTTTGCCTAACCAAATGTACATGTATGTACAATTATAGTTTTCAATTTATTTTGTGTTTTTTAAAATTTTTAAGTTGTAATTTTGTTAAATGTTGACACTAGAGTCCAATAGATTTGTAGCTTTTAAAGAAAAACTAAAACAAATTAAATAGTACAAAGTGTGCAATATATATATATATATATATATATATATATATATATATATATATATATATATCCACATTTAGGTTTACATATATAAATTTAAAAAAGAAATATTATGTCAAATCTTTTTTTAACCTAAATATGGATTAGAGACAACATCTGGACACAAATGGTGATGTTGGCTTCCAAAAATATTGGTTGTATTAAAAGTTCTCATGTTATCACACAAATCTTGGTTTTCAGATAACTTTCCCCTCTCTCTTTATATATATATATATATATATATATATATATATATATATATATATATATATATATATATATATATATATATGCTTTTATTGGTAACATAAATATTTGAAAATGGTAAGTATTTATAACATAAGTATTCGAAAATGGAATGTATTTAAAAGGAATTCTCAATTTTCAAATTATTATTATTATTATTATTATTTTATAATTGGATCTTAATTTCTAAAATGCAATTTAATTTTAGGAATGTAATACTTTAAAAGACTTATAAAACAACATTCAATTTTATCTAATAGTCTTTATGATATTTTTTTCATGTTAAAATTTTTAAATGTTAATTTTTTTTTTGTCTATATAAAATTTAAATCATAACGATCTGGTTTCCACGGGTTATAACCTATTATATATATATATATATATATATATATATATATATATAGAGAGAGAGAGAGAGAGAGAGAGAGACAGACAGACAAACAGAGAGATACAGAGAATATATATATATATATATATATATATATATATATATATATATATATATACAGAGAGAGAGAGAGAGAGAAATAAGTTCATGAGTTTAAAGTAAGTATTATGTTATTGTATGTATAATTGTAGGCCAATCAAAATTAAATAATTAAATAAATAAATAAGGTTAATTTAGTCATTTGTTTAATAACTTCCAAAAATAAACCCGTCACCATCTTTCCCTCACCCTTTGTCGCATACATTAACCCAAACCCTAGATTGGATGCTCCAACCGCAACCTCTTCAGCCACCGCTGCCCAGACGAGATTGACCGCGTCAACTGCTGCCGATGACGCCCTGAATAGCTAAGCATTCTTTTGTGACCCTACTGCCGACGAAGCTGGAAGCCTGGAGCTGAATCTTGCACGATGTCGTCGCCTGTGACTGCAAGGATCGATGAGTTCGCGGTCACCGCCGCTTCTTCCTTCCCCGATGATGCTGGGAGCAATCGGGAGGAACGTCGGGGCTAACGAATGGACCTGGTTCTTAGTTGCCTCTTTTTTGACTGATGAAGAACCCACCAGAAGTCTTCACAAAGGTATCATTCTTAGTTGCTTTAAATTTTATCACATTCTGATTAATTAGGGCTATACTTCAACCTAAATCGATTGTTAGTATAATTAAATTAGGTGTTTTTATCATTCTCTCTATTGTAAGAACTATATTTTTTCAAAGACTACTTTGTGATTTATGTTAAATATTGTATCAGAATACCTAATGTGAATTGGTTGTCTAATGTGATTGATTTACTGTAAATCAATGAAGTTTAATCGATAGGTTTAGATGAGTTTTTGGGTTTGATTGGTTGAACACAAATCATGGTTGTTTTGGTTGCTTATTTGACAGATGAATGCTTCAACTGAATTGAAAGTTGTTTTCATGCACACCAAGTGTTCGCTAAAATGCTTCAACTAATGGTATTTCTTCGTTTATAACATTCTATCAGAAAAGAATGTTTTTATGGTAATCATGAACATATTCTGTTAGAATCCCCCGAATTAATATAATTATTAGTAAATGAATTCCAATTCTATCAGAATGGAATCACGAATTTCAATTATGTTGGAATGGAGTATCGATATTTTTTCAATAATTTATTCATTTTATTTTCCTTAGAGCCTCATGCTTGAAGAAAGGACCACGAAATTTGAACGCCGCCTCTTAGAACCATTATTCTTTTAGAATGTATTAATGTTTTTGTTAGATTTTGATTTTTTTTTTTTTTTTTTTTCAAATTTGAATTTTTTTTAGTTTTATTTTTTAAAAATAAATTTAATTCTTAGAAATTGTTACATGTATTCTATAAGAATTAATGTAATTTTTTTTAATTCTTCATTTGATGGTTCAAGAATTTTGTTATTCTACAAGAAATTTTGTTATTTTTGAACATACTCAAGCATATTATGTCAGAATGTCCGAACAAAAAACCTTATAATTTGTAAGATCGGATTTTTAAAATTAATAGAATCTTTGATCCTTTAAAATATGCAACTTGCCTTTATTAAATCTATGTTAATGGACTAATATACTCTTCTAGTTAAATTAGATGATATTTTTCAATTATATTTAATTAAATAATATGTATTAATCAGTTTCTTAAAATAAGTAAAATGATTGACTCACATTTATGTATAATAATTACTTTAAATAGAATAACCTAAGCCTATATATATATATATATATATATATATATATATATATATATATATATATATATATATATATATATATAACCTTGTGTGTATGTATGTGTATGTATGTATGTTGGTTGGTAGAGGTATGCTTATGAGGTAAGGAAAAAATTAATAATTTAGATTTAGTTTTTCATATAGGGTCTTGTAATTTTACAAAATAATGAGTTTTTAACGAATTATTGTATAGTGAATCTTTACTTTTAGATTGGTAAGATTATATTTGTATAATATCAAGTTATTTGGTAGAAGTAATTAAAGAGCCGAGGTAATCCATGATTAAAAAAATATAAAGAAACTTGAGAGCTTATTAATACGGTTAAGAAGAATATTTTAAGCTGTCCGTAGGTATAGCTACTAGCGTCAAACAAAAAAAAATTTATGAGTTTTTAAATTGCACATGTATAAGAAGACAAGAGTACCATATTATATAACAATATTAAAAAAATATATCCGACAAATATGCCACTTGATGATATATAATTTGGTGAAGGGATGCTATATATAAGGACAATACAAGTTTTTTGTACATATTCTATGTATAATATAATATTGAATAAACAATAACACATTATCTAAATATAAAGTTAATACAATAAAAACACCTCTGAGTCTTATTTTGGATTAAAACACAATTCTTTGTCCAAAAAAGTTAATATGTTTTTTGTTTTTCTGAGTTGGTCCTTTTAATTAATAGGTTTTGAATATATGAAATGTTTTTATAACGATGAAAACCATTAAAAACGCTACAAAAACAACAAAATAATGTGAGAATTATAAATCAAAACAAAAAGTATATTCAAATAGAAACAAAAAATGTGTCGTAAAGGAATTTAATGTCATTATCATAGATCAAATCATTTTAAAAATTGAAAATTTTTTAATCACGAAAACATAAAAGTTAAAATTAGATTAAAACAATGTCATATTTGATTTTTTTTTGGAGGGGTTGAAGGGTGTGAGGATTTTTCTGGAAAAAAATTTGCGTTTTTTCTATAAAATGTATCTAAAATCGAAAGATTTACTTATGAAATTGCTAAATAATAATAATAATAATAATAATAATAAAAAGATCTTTCATTGAAAATAATAGTAAAAATTAAGGTTAATGTTGAAAAATATAATATATAAGTTAACCATTAAATATATAGTTATTATTATTATTATTTTAAAACCTATTTCAAGGAATTATTAGAAAGATACTCAATGATTAGGACAGATACACCATTACGTGATGAGTTGTTTTTTTTCATATGCACCTTCTAATTTTTAAATTTCTTCCACAATGTCAATTAAAATGATGCTATTATTTTTGTTTAAAAGGGTAATACTAGATTCTTCTAAAGGATTTCATATGATTATTATTTTGGAAAAAAAAAACATTGTTTATTTTGTGTATATCGTTTTTTTCCAATTCATAATTAGAATAATAGTCACCCTATCAGATGTTGAAAAGTATATACCTTGATGGCCTGATAACACCGGATGCATCTTTAAGAATATGAAGTTTAGCCTTTTGGGAAAAATTGATCCCGACAATAGAGAAAAAGGATTCAACAATATTTCTAGCAGAATTTATCAGCGTTTGGAGTGCTCTATCTCCAACATGGCAATCAGCTTCTATACACAAATTTTGAAACCGAACTTCAACCGTTGGAAGTGTGATTCCAGCCCTAAGATTAGTCAATATAACAATATTTTAATTACTAACCAGATCAATGGCAGAATCAGGATCAAAATAAGAAGGTATCCCCACAAAAAATATGCATAATACACAATAAGAAAAAAATTACACTAATGAATTTTTTTTAGGGGTATCCCGAGCTACCCGAGATATATACTAGATCTGCGAACCAAATGTTGGATTGAACACTTGTAATATTGACCCATCCTTGTCGATAATTGCAACTTAAATTTTGTAGTATCATCACCCATAAAAAAGCCAATTTTGTATGCACCTATATAAAACATGGGTTGTCCATACAACCAACTACTGTCCCCAGTTTTCGAGGTTCGAACCATGCATGACCTTCAGAATGTGGAGTTTAACATTGCTATTCTCTACCGACGACCCATATAAAAACATAAAAATATATAATTTGATGAATAAAAACATTAATAAATGGTATAAATATATTCAATTTACATATGACTACAATATAGATCGATGAATATAAGTTGTCTTTTTTTGCCTAACTAATTTAGAAAAACTCCTAGCCTTCTCTGTACCCATTTCATCATGCTAGCAACAATTAGAAACCGAATGTATTGAACTTTTCATGGATATATATATATATATATTTTCATATCAAACCAGGAGATCCGACTATACATGAATTTTGGTTGACATGAAAGCAAAAAAGAAAAATAGGGCAGTTAAATTTGGATGATGGATCAGAAGGACTTACTTGTCAACCCGATCTCTGAACTTCTTCAAGAACTTGTCGTTATCTTCTTCAGGGTCCATAAAAATCTTGTCTATAAATTTCTGTCGAGCATTTGAGTCAAGCGCTCTTACATCCAACAACATCTGATTATCAGAATGCTTTTGCTGCTGACCTAACGGACTATATGACTTGAAGATGGTGGTTCGTACTCGACTGTAAGTAGGAAGTTTCTCCAGCGCAGCCCATCGCAAGGCCTCTTCGTCTTCCTTGGAATTACGACTTGTCCGTCCGTCATGACTACCACCTCTACCAGGGGAAAACACATCTTCGATCCGCCAACCCGGGGAAGCCATGCTGATACCCCTACTTATGCTACTTGCGAGACTTTGGCTCACACTTGACTTCCCCTTTTCATCCATTTTTGAAACTTCGTTAATAATCCCACTAGAGTTCTTGCTTAAATAGGGTTGGAAGTTTATACAATCGATTTCGAGGGAATCTTCATACTTTTGAACCAAGAATAAAAAAACACAAAAGTTCAATTATGGTCCCTAGGGATTATTAGAAATTAGAAACATTTCCAGGGAATCTTGCGTACTTAACCAAGAATTAAAAAAAAAAAAAAAAAAAACACAAAAGTTCACTTATGGTCCCTAGGGATTATTAGAAATTAGAAAGATAAAGTTCACGAAAGTTCACTTATGGTCCCTAAGTTATGTCATGATATTAACCATTAAATATATAGTTATTATTATTATTATTTTTTTTTTGTGTAAACGTAAACCTAGGGCTGTAAACGAACCAAATGAACACGAACAATGTCTTGTTCATGTTCGTTCGTTTAAGTTAGCCGAACAACAAACGAACACGAACAAATAAACGAACGAGATTTTCTTGTTCATGTTTGTTCGTTTAACAAATTACTTTGTTCATGTTCGTGAACATGCTAAACGAACATAAACGAACAAACATAAACGTACAAACATAAAAAAAAAAAAACACAATTGAACATATATGAACATAAATGAACATATAATATAACAATATATTAAAAAATAATTAAATATAGATGAATATAAATAAACTTAAACGAACGAATATAAACGAATGTAAATAAACATCATAAACGAACGTTCACGAACATAAATGAACGAACGAGACCATTGTTCATGTTCGTTCATTTAACTAAACGAACAATAATTTTTGTTCATGTTCGTTCATTTATTAAATAAACGAACATAAACGAACTTCCAGCCGAACAGTTCACGAACGTTTCGCCGAACGTTCAGTTCGTTTACAGCCCTATGTAAACGTATTTCGAGGAATTATTAGAAAGACACTCAATGATTAGGACAAATACACCATTCAGTTATAATTTTTATATGCATAGTCTAATTTTTTAATTTCTTCCACAATGTCAATTAAAATGATATGTTATTATTTTTGTTTAATAGGGTAATACCAGATTCTTAAGAGATTTCATATAATTATTATTTTGAAAAAACAAAAAAATAATTTTTATTTTCTATTCATACCGGTTTTTCCAATTTATAATTAGAATAATAGTTACGCTATCAGTTGTTGGAAGGTATATACCTTGATGGTATGATAACTCCGGATACATTTTTAAGAATATGAAGTTTAATCTTGAAAAAATATAATATATAAGTTATCTAACATATTAATCATTAAATGTATAGTTATTATTTTTTGTGTAAACTTATTTCAAGGAATTATTAGAAAGATACTCAGAATTAGGACATATACACCATTAATGATGATTTTTGTTTATATGTATCGTCTAATTTTTAAATTTCTTCCACAATGTAAATTAAAATGATATGGTATTATTTTTGTTTAAAATGGTAATACTAGATTCTTCTAAGAGATTACATGCAATTATTGTTTTGAAAAAAAACACAATGTTTATTTTCTATTCCTACCGATCTTTTTTTTCCAATTCATAATGAAAATAATAGTCACGCTATAAGATGTTGAAAAGTACCTTGATGGTCTGATAACTTTAGACGCATCTTTAAGAATAGGGTAAATTACACCAATAGTCCCTTGTGTACATGCCAGAAAGTATGTTTAGTCCCTATTTTTCAAATTTAACTTGGACCGTCCCTAGGTTTGATTTTTCTTGCACGCTTAGTCCCTATTGACATGAAATGACTGTTTTACCCTGGATTAATTCTTTTTAGATTTTCTTTTATTTCCTTATTTGTTTTAAATAATAAAAAAGAAAATAAACTAAAAATCCACACCCCTCCTTACGACACTTCCGTTCTCCCCTCTTCTCACCTCCTTATTTCTCTGGTAACACCTCGATCTAAAACCCTCCATCTAACACTTCATCGACGACTTCTGATGGTGGGGCACCGGTGAAGAAGGTGATCGTCGACTTCCGATAAAGCATCACCATCGTAGTTTCGCTCAGAAACCTTCTCCTATTTTCTGTAACTCCACTGGCGATCAGCCGATCACGCATCTGTAAATCCGACCTGTAACTCTCAAATACCTAGCCCAAACCGGTGTAAAACCCAACAAGTGGCGATGAACGCTCCATCTTCAGCGAACAGGTGGTGACGAAGACGAAGGTTTTCAGTTGAACAAATGTAGACTCAACTGTGGAGCTTCGATTATGATTGTAGAGATAGATGTTTTAAACGAAGATCTGTCGAAACCCTAACCGACGTTAATAGCGGCACACATGTGAGCCGGTGACGGTGAGGGTGGGCGTCGAAAGGAGCCTCTATCAGATTTAGATTAAGAAAGAGGGTAGAGAAAGAGGTCGAAGACCATCGCAGGAGCCTCCGTTAGATCCCGTCGTTTCTGCCAGAGAAGACGAGCACTAGATTCCGATGAAAAGGCTCTAGAATGAAGACCACAACCACCCATCAGAAAGGGGTGAGGAATGTTCGTCAGATGGTGGAGACGGTGGTGGTGGCCTGCAGTTTGTATGTTGTGTTTGGGTGCTTCTTTCCGATCAGTAACAATGAAGGGATGGATGAGTTGGGGAAAATGAAGGGGAGGGGGTTTATTTTATTTTTTTAATTGAAATTCATAATAAAAACATTAAATTAATTTAAAAAATAAAATATAAGGGTATTATGGTCATTTTAAATTAGGCATGGACTAAGTTTGCAACAAAATCGTCTTTCAGGGATGAAGCGTGTAAGGTTAAAACAAACAAGGGATGGTCCGAGTTAATTTTTGAAAATAGGGACTAAACACGCTTTCTGACATGTACACGAGGGACGAATGATGTAATTTACCCTTAAGAATATGAATTTTAGCCTTTAGGAAAAATTGATCCCAACAATGGTGAAAAAGGATTCAACAACATTTCCGACAGAATTTATCAGCGTTTGGAATGCAATATCTCCGACATGGCAATCAACTTCTATAGACAAATTTTGAAACCGAACTTCAACCATCGGAAGTGTGATTCCAGCCCTAAGAATAGCTAATATAACAATATTTTAAATTTTTAATTACTAACTAGATGTTGGCTTAAACTCTTGTAATATTGACCCAATCTTGTCGATAATTGATCATCGTAAAAAAGGCGAATTTGTATGCTCCTATATAAAACATGGGTTATCCATACAACCTATTACCATCCCCAGTTTTCCAGGTTCGAACCATGACCTTCCATTCTCTACCGATGACCCGTATAAAAACATAAAAATATATAATTTGATAACTGGTATAAATATTTTAAATTTGCATATGACTACAATATGTAATGCCCGTGTTTCTAGGCTAGATATTAATGATAATGTAATAGTCTAGTCAACCAATGTAACTTGTTTTGAAGTAATAAAAATGAATTATTTCAGTATTATATGCTTTATAGTTAATTATTATGATATAATAAATTAAGTATAAAAGTAAGCATCAAAAATAAAATGTTAAACAAACTCGATATATATGAAGAAAATTATAGTGGTTGTAACAAAGATTTCGGAGATATAAAGAACGCCGAAATCCGAGTTATAACGAAGAAGTTATGACCTGTCGAAGTTTTGCGACAGAACCGACACAACGTTGTGTGACGTAAAAAGTGAGTTTATGACAAAGTGTTTTTTAACCTTAGCGATCTAAATGAATGTTGTAGTATACGTTAAACCGAGAGCATGCATAAAAAGAATGTCCAAATCTGACTTCGTATGAGGAAGTTATGAATTTTTTAAAATTTGGCATAACAGTATGCAGCCCGTGTTGGGACCCGATGTGTTGCATATGTGGCTCGCTCCTTGGCCCAGTTTTGTTACCGGTTTGGGCCTGTCCAACCATGTTTATTTTTATTAGGGTTTTAGTATTTAAGGTGCATGCATGTGTCCTTTGTAATTATCGCTTTCATTCATTATTCTCAGAATTGTACTACAAACCCTAGATCGCCTCTACAGTGGAAGTTCTTCATCGAGCTCTGCTGAGGCGTGACTATCTTGTGTTCTCAGTGTTTGTTTATTTGTTTTACTGATTAACCCGTTGAAGATCTAATCAATCTAAGAGTTTTCAACTCATCAATTGGTATCAGAGCAGAAGACTGTGTAATCCATGCACATCTCTTTTGTTGAAGATGATCTTAGGGTTTTTCCACTTTCATCGATATTGTTAGAGTTGTTATCTGCTATTGATGTAGTTCTTTAATATTTGATCTTACCCTAACGTTATTTACAAGTCTGATCTTAAACAAGTTTTTGAACAAGCATCATCATGTCCATAGAAAATTCTCAGACAAACCCAATCAATATCTCCAACAGTATAGGATCGACGACAAGGATTCCTATATTATACACTCCCGATATGAGGTCTGGACGCATCATTGTGAAGACTGCATGATTGGTTAAGAATACAATAGATACTTGATCTGGGAGGTGATTACTGTAGGTCCATTCGCTCACTCAAGTACTTCAAGAACTGTTAAAACCCAAAAGGAGTATAATCAACTCGTTAATGATGTAAAAGACATACCCCAAGATGAGAAGTAAAAGTTTCAGTGCAACATCAAAGCTTTAAGGATGATAAGGTTCGCCTTATAGTCGGATACGTTTTGGTTGGTAAGCTCATGCACAACGACGAAAGAAATATGGGACAGGTTAAAGGAATTGTATTCTACGGATGAAGATCTTGAGCATTCAATCCAAGCTTTGTTGCTCTCAGAATTTGGTGACTTCAAGCAGAAGCCTGAAGAGAAGCTTATTCAAGCCTTCGATCGCTTTAATAATCTTCTTAGTAAGATGATAAAGCATGAGATTGAAAGGAAAGTCATTGAACAAAAGGTCACATTAATGAATGGCCTTAGACCTGAATGGATGGTGTGATGTCTACTGTGAAGGCACACGAACAATTCAAGGTTTATTCTCTAGCAAAACTGGTGGGAATATTAAAGTCACATGAGAGTGCAATGACTAAAGAAACAAATGTGGTTTCTGGCATGGGGTCCTTGGCTCTAATCAGGAAAGAATGTTGCTGAAGAAGAAGAAGATTTATTTCTTTTTTGAATATGATCTAACAAGTGCTTTGATAGTGTCAAATCCCAAAAA